AGAAGAGAATTGCCTTTTGGGGATAACTTAAGTACATTTCAACTAATTCAGATTGAGTACTTATTATGTTTCACCAATATATGTACCAAATAATTTTGCTCGATTTTTAGACAATTAACAAATATCACCAATATTTTTCTTTTGTCATTTTTATCTCTTTGTCCATATAAATATTTTTCCTTCTTTAAAAAATTAAACCATACTAACATTTTCTTGTTATAAATTAGACTGATTCTTTTTGTTAATTAATTTTCAACGAGTTTTTATTTTGACTATTTTTTTTTCAAGTAAAATACATGTCTAAACTATTTGTTTGTCCCTCCACCAATCGAAAATTTTCTAATTTTTTTACATTGCTTTAAGTGCAATTTGAACCTACTTTAGTCTTTTCATTTACCCGTTAAAAAAGAAATCATTATTGCTGCTAAGCTGTAACAATCACCAGTACTACAAATGATTAATTTTGAAAGTGAAATATCGACTAATTTAGTTGTCATAACAAACTAACATCCATATACCACAATAACAGCTAATATTATTCTTTTATTAGTCAACATAAATTTTCAACTATAGTAAATATATTAATTAAGTCCCATGTTCATATTCAGGTCAGCCCGGAATTATATGGAGACAACTATCCTAGGTTCTTTACTTATTGGACGGTAAGCATTTTAATTTTTCTTCGTATCTCATATGTCAGTGTATAAAATTTAAATTTTATAATGTAATTTTGGAACGCAGACGGATGCATACCAAGCTACAGGATGTTACAACTTATTATGCTCAGGTTTTGTTCAAATAAACAATAGGATTGCTATGGGAGCTGCAATATCTCCAAGATCATCTGTTAATGGTAGACAATTTGATATTGGCATAATGATATGGAAGGTAATATTTAATTTTTCTTTCCTATAATATTTATATTTTTTTATTCTTTTTTTTTTATAATCTAATAAAAAAGGTTAAAAAGTATTTTAGCTGTTTTGCACTTCCCCACCCACCAAAAAATGTTTAGTACGTTTTCCCTTTTTCTTTTAGGCATGCGTATAGGACATTTTTGGTGAGCTGACAAAAACGTAATAGTAATATATATTATATTATATTCCTTACAAAAAAAAATTATTTTTTATTTTTTAAATACAATATTTAAAAATAGTAAATTGCAAGATTCTCTAAACATTGCTGAGTCAACTGTACATTTTGCGTCTTCAATTTAATATTCTATTTTCTTGCTAGCTGACATCTAACAACTTTTAGGTCTAACAGTTTAATATTTTGGAACTACTACATTTCTTGTTTCTTTTGGACTCTTGTTTTGCATATTTTATTTTTTTGGTCTTATGTATTTTAATATATGTTGGAGCAGATAATATTTTTAGGTCCTAAGGGCGGTGTCGCACATCCGATTTACGGAATAAATAAAATAACGTTAATAGTAGTGGTATTTCATTTTTGTCTTTCGGCTCCACTTATAATACACTACTGACTCGAAGACTTGAGAGACCTTTGCGTAGTAATGAATGAAGGGAAGCTCTTCGAGCTTTCTCTGTCAACAGATTATGTAGTGGTTGGCCTTATAAAGCTCTCCAAGACTCGGTTCCCTCTCCTCTACACTTATTACGTCAAAAATAGTTAGCGACATTCTATAAGCGACTTGCTCCTCTAGTAGACATTAATGATATTCGTGAATTTGTTTCAAGGTCTCTACTTTACGTAAACAATGTTATTTTCAGTGTCATTATTCCTACTTCTGCAGCCTCTTTTAAACGGCTACATGTAATTATCTTTTAAATAATTCGATAAGTAGACCAACTAATTAATTTGTCTTGTGCGTAGGATCCAAAGCATGGACACTGGTGGCTAGAATTCGGGTCGGGTCTATTAGTTGGATACTGGCCAGATTTCTTGTTTAGCCATTTAAGAGGACATGCAAGCATGGTACAATTTGGAGGTGAAGTAGTGAACTCAAGATCAATGGGATATCACACTTCAACACAAATGGGAAGTGGACATTTTGCTGATGAAGGATTTGGAAAAGCTTCTTATTTTAGAAATTTGCAAGTTGTTGATTGGGATAATAACTTGATTCCTTTGTCAAATCTTCATCTATTAGCTGACCATCCAAATTGCTATGATATTAGAGCTGGAAAAAATAATGTTTGGGGTAATTATTTTTACTATGGTGGTCCAGGAAGAAATTCAAGGTGTCCATAGTTGGAAAAGAAAAAAAGAGTGCAATTAATTTCATTTTGGTCTTGTAGAGTGGTCCTATTTTTAATTTTTTGGTCTTTTGTGTCCCTATTTTGACCTAGGATATAGAAGGTTTGGGTCATTTCTATGATTCTTTCATATATAACAAAAAACTTGGTTTGCTCCAAAGTTACTTATTTGACCATCATGAGCTGATGTAAATATTTTGGTGAGAAGTTGATAGTATTGATTTACAATCTATATCTATGTTTATTTTTTGTCAATTGATGGAAATTGTAAGTAGAAAAATTGAACCACCACACCTACCATTGGAACTTGGAAATTTAAAGTCCAAGATGTTTGGGTCAACTTTTGTGCACCTCTCAACTAATTTTACTAGGTACATAATATCTCCACCACCAGCATAGGTACCTAGTTACTCTGAATCAAGACTTGAATAGAGAATTAAATTTGAGACTTCACGGTGCTAACTAGTATGTTGGGAACCTCAATTACCCAATGTATCTGTCTTATTCTGTGCCAGTGAGATTACAGAAACTTCATATTTTCAAATATTTTTTTCTAGTGAGATAATGTTGATAGTAACGTTAATGTAGATATTGCACGTGGGAAGCATAGGAAGAATACAATATAACTGGCATAAGTCTTTAAGTTATGAACCTTCCCAGGCATTATAATAATAAAAAAATCCAACAAAAGACTGATTTTTTTTATTATGATTATAAGAGAAGTTAGAGGCATAGTCAACCCAACAAAAGCATCCAATAAATGAAGACAAATCCAAGTTCACTAATCAAGAACATGGTTTTTATCAAGAAAATATTTTAAAAGGCAAAACTTGTAGCAGGGATTTGGTTCTTGTCTTTGTTTAAAAAGTCTTAAGTCAATATTTAGGTAAGCTGAAGAACGTCATACTTTGTGGATCATGCAGTATTTGAGATTATATGCCTTAAAGTAGTTAAGTTATATGTAGCCGCAGTCAATCATTTTTGTCGAACGAACTTCAACAATATACGAAGGAAAAGGCATAAATTTCCTTTACGAAAAGTCAGTTACATGTTTATATTATTGTGATGATTTATTACACACCTGAATTACTTAAAAGTAAATTTATTTCAACCATGACGCACATACAACCAATCACATGATGAGAGAGTATTTCACACTCGCGCCACATCATCACCATGTCACTGCCACATCAATAATTACGTCAATTTTTTTTAAAAAAAACCCAATGTCACTCAATTTCTTCTTCTTCCCCATTCACCATCAAACCCACCATTAAATCACTACCATTGATGCTATTTCACTTCTCCACCACCATAGATTTCACCACTCATAATCAAATTCACCACCGGAATCTTCTCACAACCATTGCCATCATAAAAAATCGATAACGAACATCATAAATTTAACTAAATTCACCATCGGAACCATATTACTATCATTGAAATTCATCACAATCATAACCATAAATTCACCATCCACATCGAAAGCACGAGTTTCATTGTCATTATCAAAATTTAAAGTCATACTACCACTAATTTTTCACCCGTCACCAAACCCACCACAAAAAATTATCACAATATACAAATTTCATTCAAGCTCAAAGAAGAGAATTGTGAAAACTTGCAATATTTGTTTGCAAAGATTTTAGTCAGACAATTGAAAAACTAGTGCTCGATTTACTATTACTGATTTTGAAGAAAATCTAGAGATGATTTTTCTGAGAGAGAAGAAAGATCTATGAATATACATTTAAAAATTGAATTTTGTTCAAAAACCCAAAAACTTTTTACACAAAAAAAGCAAGACTCTGAAAATTTTCTTATTTCAAATGCTCACAATCTACAAAAAATTACAAAAATAAACTGAATAATCCGTGCTTGATTTGACGAATTTGATGTGAAAATAATAAGGATTGATCAATTTTAGATGTCTCGCCGGAAATTTTTTCGAACAATGAGCCTACTCAATTGAACAACTTCACAATCGAATTTCTATCCCACAATGTTGTTTTTTATTTTTCACTTGAAAATTTATCATGAAAAAATTATTTTTCACATTAGCCATAGCAAAAAGAGTGTTTGTGATAAGAAAAAAAATGGAGGAAGAAGAAATGTAGGGTAATCTGAAGGAGAAGGGTGGGGGTGGGAAAAAAATTGCCTTTTTTTCTACTCAAACGCGCCTTATTTATTTTTATTTAATCTTATTTCCATGTCAACTTTGAGGGTTGTATTAAATTCACTTTTGAGTAGTATAAGTGTGTAATGGGTCACCTCAATAGTTTAAGTGTGTAACTGACTTTTCGGTACAACTTCAAGGATGAATTTATGCCTTTTCTCATATATGAATGAACATTAGACTAAACTTCGATTATACGAAACTTCAAACATTTGTCAACAGTTAGGCAAGCCTAAGTTCAAACAAACTGTTCCAAAGTGGGTAGATGTACAATTTTCAAAGTTCAGACCATGACTAATGTAAGTAAAACGCAGGAATATTTAATTCTCCAACATGTTCAAGCATTTAAGAAAAAATAGTAGTCGAATCATATTATCAGAGATACTCCATCTATTCCGTATTAACTGAATATGGAAGGTAATGCACGCATATTAAAAGAAAAATATTCAAGAACATAATTTTCACTATTGCACTTTGTGAAATCATAAATATAACTTTATAAGTAGTGTGATGTAGCTCCTAGTAGTAAATACTATAAAACTTCATTAAATGAAAAGAACAAATATGAAAATAAAATTCAAACATACATCTTGAACTTTGAACAATGAAAAAAGCTCAAAATTTTAGTTAATATAGAATAGAGGGAATACTTATTAGCAAATTATATGGTACAAAAATAAAGGTTTTCGCTTAATTTGAGAAGGCATACTGGCATAGTGCCACCACTTTATGTAAACACTAACATGTAAAAGAGGGTGATGATAAACCTGATGTACTCCTTGAGAATCAGCGTGCTGTCCTCTATCGATATGCGAAGAACATGAACTTCTTATTTCATATATGTATACAGATATTCCTAACGAGAAAAAGCACCACCTAATTTTGTCAAAGCATCATCGATGAAGGCAACTAGGTGTTCAGAACTCTGAACTTGAGATCTAACAAAACTAGTACACATCAAGTCTGTACACTGCAATAATGTAGGGGTCATCTCATCTGTGTCTTGTATCAGTTCATAGGTTTTTCCAACAGCTACACAGAGCTCTATAAACGAGTGATCCTCCAAGTTTTTCCTCAAGTCAAGTAAAACACCTTGTCTGTCCCCTGTATTTATGGGTTTCATTTTCACAGCGGTACTTCTTATTGATTCGAGGTTAAAACATATATGCTGCAGTGCTTTAGATGGTTTCCGACTTGTTTCGTTCTTTACCTGGGCAAATGTATGTAGTAGGACTACATTTGCAAAGGCAAAGCGCACAATGAATATGAAGAAGTCGTAGAAATTCATGCCTACAAAAGAAAAGGAAAAAATAGCCGGATTGTCAAGATGCTGGCGCCATCAATCAGATGATTACTGTTCTCCCTTCTTTAAGTGAACTCACAAAGAATTTCAACAAAAGATAACAAAGCCCAAAACAAACAGTCATGTTAGAAGACTAGGCTAAGCCACAATTGTAAGTTCGTTACACAATGCTGTACATCCCCCAGGACCCCACCATTATCTCGCTAAACATACTAGAACTTTTGATCAAGGGCAGACCTGTATTAGCGGCAAGATTTCGTTGGCAAAGCTCCTCAAAGTCATCGCATCCCTTGAGGTCTTCAATGTATTCACTAGCCTCATTGTAATCTTTTAAAAGCAAATCCCACTAATATCACATATACAGTTATGATTAGTTTCTGAGGAAAAGATAATAACTATATTCATGTAAAAGGCTAGTAAGCAAGCATTTTATAGCAACTTTACTTACCACCCAAGATAAATTATATCCATTGAACCAGTTATGATTTATGGATATGGTATCCTCCTGCAATTCGTGTAACATACTTTGATTTAGCAGAAATACAGGCCCTAGATCCTTGAAATAAATACGAGAAAGTTGTATCTCAAATGCAATTTTCAGCTTAATTACTTGCAAAGATTGATCCTATCTTCCTTACAACAGCCATATACGAACAATTAAAATGATCCTTCTTTTACCAGAATCTACTGTCAATTGTTATGAGAAACAGATCCAAGTTAACAATGGATCCCCTTACAGAAATATATATGACCTGTCCGTGTTAAACACTTATGTCCAGTATACGTGGAAGATATTTCATCTGAAACTAAGCGATTCATTCTCATCTAATATGTGATGGATGTAATTAGGACAGTAACCACCTCACTATTAGATCCTTTTATGGAACTCAAGAGTAAAACCTTCCAAGAGAGCAAATTGCAGCGGTACTTGTTTCAATTTTAGCACTATAACCACATAAGCCATAGGTCAGCTTTATAGAAAGCACTAAGCAGTGTAGTAATAGGAGGAAGTTAGGATCTAATACAAGGTAAACTACTCAAGTTTTTCAGTTGAATGAAAAACTGTAGATAATTTATACTATATGAAGAAACATAAGCCATAACAAATATGACACATTTGATTAAAGCAACAATACCAGATTATGAACTTGATGATACCATCCACTGGGAACGAAGATTACTTCATTTTCCTCTTGGGTGCACTCCCACCAGATAGCCTGAACTCATGATGGAAGTCAAAAACTAAACACTAAAAAGCCGAAAGAACACTTAAATCCCAAGGAAAAATTGCCAGAGAGACATACTTCATTAAAAAAGTAACTAGCAAATTACCTTTTCAAATCCAGGAAATTTTGATTGAGAAACGTCAGCAAAGATGTCATATACGGAACTTTTCATATTCCTGAGTAAACAAAGAGTATAAATTATGTGAACTCACCGAAGATAGCAAGCATTGTTTGTTCCACTAACATCATTTTCCCTATTAAAGTAATTTACTTATAGCAATACAGGGCAACTTTATCACTCTAAACCAATCATAAGTGCCATTACAAGTTAATAGTTATCAATAACAGTATGAAAAGGAAAACACATAAATGTGAAGATTTGAGTTTTACATCATTTTGTAATGCATTGATCTAGGAAACTGATAGTTATTCACACGTGTTTGATGTTGTTCCTACGTTAATGTTCTGTGACATCTGTCTATAGAAGATTGTGAATATATGTAAAACCAACATAAAATATGTGCAAACTTCTTTTGAGATACATGTTTGTGTTGATCTGGCGCATCTGCTTGGACCTTGACATCAGAACTTTCAGGATTCAGCAGTGCACATTTCTTTCTCAGTCACTCAGACAATTTTTTCCAAACATTCACAGTTTCAACTCAATATCATTTCCAAAGTTATGGAAAATTTTGGCAGGAAAAGAAAAATGGTCCGAGGAAAGTCCATGGATACCAAAAGAATGTACTACACCTGTCAAAAACCAAGTGAGGTTGACTTGGAGGCAGAAAATACCACTGTTTTTTTCCACAGACATTTGCAGACCAACTGTATGACCTGAATACATCGGCATGAAGAGGTGTCCATGTTCCTACATCCATTTCATTAGTTTAAAAACTTCTCAAAAGTACTAGATATTTGATTAAAAACAAACTAATTTATTGCTAGAGCCATGGAAAATAACAACCGTGTCTTACAAGAAAGAAATTACCACGACAATGGTCAGACCTTTTGATCCCATGTATACAAAACGATAGTCAGAGCAACTTATTTCATTTCTCTCACTATATGTATCAGGATCATTATGCATACGAAATTTGTCAAGATAGAAATTCAGCCAGTCATCTGAAAAGTCCATGGGAGTTCTGTATGCAATATACTCTGGATATTCCTAAAAAGGTTTGAATTTCAAAATTAGCAAGAGAAACAGGCTAAGAATTTTTTGATAGGATGGAAAAAAGAAGGCTGGAGCAAGCGGCAACTTTTGAAAGACAGACCAAAGAAAAGATGGAGTATACATTTCAAATCCTACTTACGGGGCCAGTGTAACCTTGCGAATGAAAAAAATGTAACACCTAATCTCCCCATTATGATTAAAAATTACAATTTAATATGTAATCTACTCATTCAGTTCTATGGAGTACGTTTTTCATCTTATGTTACACGAGTGTATCCCAATATATAATGTCACGGAAACAAAACTGAACAAGTATCCTTCTCAAAAAAAAAAACTGAACAAGTATACACAAAGTGTACATCTATGAGAAAATCAACAAGCTACCTATACTTTTCTGCTAATATGCTTAAAAAGAGATTTATCAGCTTAATTAAATCCTGAAACAAACATTATCACAGTGAAAAGGAGTAAAACACAAAATTTATGTAAGCAATGGACCTAGTAAAAGCTTCTTAAAAATAGAGTCCCTCCACAATATGTTAAGTGTGGGGGTCAGACAATATGCTATATTCCTATATCGGCTTTGATTGTTGGGATCATAGATAATAACTATCCACAAACTATTATTTCAAACACTCTACATTCTACTTTACGTGTGCTGATATCACTTAACAAGTTTCGTTGTAGTCTGAAAGGACAAATCTTTTTATTCAGACACCATTGTTCTTTCCAAGAATAAATCAGTAGTATTCCACTACTTCACAGCAGGAGTAGAACAAACTTTACGAGATCAATGATCAGTAGCACATATATCAATTGCATCCATATAGCTAGTCTTCCTTCAAGAAAGAGTTCTAATACAAAAAAAATATTCACAAGCATCACAACATTGAATTTAGCTATTTTTCACATTTTAGAGGACCCAAAGTTGATACCTTTACAAAATGCCAGTCCTTCAAATACAATAAAGACCCGCCACCAGCAGCACAATCACGAAGCCAATGATCAACAAATTCAGAAACAGTCATTTCTATTCTCTTCTGATCAGTGAACTCTCTAGTCCCACAATCTGCAACCTGCAAATCACCAGTAATTGACCACAAACCCAAAAACCTAAAAAAAAAAAAAAACGAATTAGGGGATTTAACTAATTGGGTCGAAGAAGTAATATCTTACCTGAACTTCGGATTTCCCAAAATGGGTAGAGAAATAGTGAAGATTGGGTTTTCCATTAGGTGAAACCCAATCTTTGCAAGCCCTCCAATCGTCCATAAGTCCTGTAAGAACCACAGGTTGGTTTTGGGACATATATTTCTCGGCGAACTCACTGTAAGTTAGTTCTCTGCCGTTCACTTTTTCAATTCTCCCTCCAATTTTCAAACCCATTTCTATATCATTCAGTTATGGATCTTCCCTCGTCGTTCTTCTTTGCCTCATGTCGATGATGAATCTTGATTCTTATGCAGTAGTTACTAGTTAGTACTAGCTCCACCCTCTTTATTTTTTTTAATCATCTGAATTGAAGTTTGATCAAATTCGCATCTAAAAATCTCCTACCTAACAAAGATTGTGACTATGTGAACTTTGAACCCGACACTCCTATCTGGGCGATTCATAGTTATGATTAAAAAATTAAATGGAATCGAAATTTGAATCAAATCGATTAAAAAAAATCTATATTTGATTTGATTTAAGTTTTAAATTTTGAAAACCAATAATATTTGGTTTGGTATTGGTTTATTGAAAATCAACTGCAAAAATCCAAACCGAAAGGATAAATTAGATATATAAATTTTATAATTATTTAGATATTATTCATAAATAAAATATAAATATTTTGTTAAATTTTAATTAACTTTACCATTTTCTCAAGCTCAACACTTAAATTTTCGTCCAACTATTAAAATCTTGAGTTCAAGTCAATCAAAATCTATTACTTTAATCTTTACCTATCAAATTGAAACACTTTGTCCGTGTAATGAAAACTCTAGTATTATTTAATTGCTTAAATGACACAACAATAACTTTTATGTGAATTGTTCATGTATTAGGTGTTTGTGTCTATCAAGATAGATATGACCTCAAAATATTTATTACTTTCAAACCCAAAAAACCAGAAAACCCAAACCAAACTGACAATTATTTTTTTGATTTGATCTTAGAAATTTAAAAACCCAAATTTAAAAAATCAACTAGAGTGGTTTGGTTTTGATTTTAACCAATAACCAATTCAAACTGAACCACGAACACCCCTACTCCTAACTCCTCTCTATTACTTTTTTTTTTTTAAAGTTAAAGATAGTCCAAGCCCATTTTTATTAAACAAACTAGATGATTCTTTGCCCGTGCTGCGCGGGCCCAACAATTTAGCTTAATGAGTTCGTAAGAGCAAACTACTGCACTGAACCTAGATGAATGTAGGACAACTGAAATTCATATACACGAATAAGTAGCAAAAAAGTAGCTATTACTTCAATGACACCAAAGAGACCATCTTCTGAATCTAGATTACTTTCAGCAGATGCAATTTTTAACATTTGTGATCTTCTCCCGTTAGTTTCTCTGGCCACAAATATTGTCTCTTAGTATTATATATATTCTGTCCTCTGAAGCATATATATGTATTCACATAGTAGTCTTGGCTTCCTTTTCATCTAAATTCATTTTTTGGCAAAAGTACTTATTGAAGATTGTAGCCTCTAAAAATAGCTGGTAGCTCTTTTAGAGGCTTTCCTGAAAAGAGCAAAAGAATTTCTTAGAAGGTGTTAGTTACATCATCATAATAACATGATGCTTATTTCTCACTCATGTTTCGAAAAGCAGGAAAACTTACATGATTGAGAATACCGTGCATTTGTCATTTACATGCCAATCAACAGAACTATTACTTCACATATTAGTTTTATGTTCCAGAAAAGGATTTCTCTGTATAAATGCGTAAGGCATCATCGACATTGCACTGCCAGGTAAAACCACTTGTAGTTACATAAACAAATGTCAAAAAGATGCTACATCTAAATATGGCAGATTTTAACAATACAATATATTCAGAGATTATATGAATGACCCAGAAATTATGTGGAAGACGTTATTAAATGTACTACCTACTTGCAGATTTAGTGACTCGATTGTTTAGAACCTTTAAGGTGGAATTAGTGAAAGCTTCAGTAGCCAACATGCCATGGAAGGAACTACTCCATTATTTATTTATTGTGTAATTAAGAGGTTAAAAAGATTACCCTATATTTACTCTCTAAGTGTGGACAGGTTCAAGCCTAGAACAAACTAAGGAGGTTATAAAGATTATCATAATTCCGCAACTGTCATCATTGGACATGCCTGTTAATTCTTTCCATGAAAATGGAACAAGAGTTTTCCAATTAATGGTAAGCTAAGTTACACATGAATTTAAGATATACAAGGATCCAGTTTAATAACAATTTGAGGAAGAAATTAGGCCTTCGCAAGTTACGGAAAGTTGAAAAAGAGCAACAACCAAGCAGGCATAGCAACACATTTGTATATATCATATAGAAGTTCTACTGCACAAAGATTTACCTCATCAATAGTTTGTGCAAGTGCTATAAGTGGCGCCACACCTCCTCCTTGTTTGATGGTGATACTATTGCAGGATTCAATAATTATGAATTAGATTAATCACAAAACGTTCCGATGGGATTTGATCTGTCATTCATTTTTCTTACAAAATAATCGATGAATCTGCAAGGTGTATAAGGTAGCATTCTCCACTTCAATGTGGTTAGTACCAAAAGTTCCATTCTTTGAATAGTTTTGCCTTCAAACACAAAATTTAGATACCCAACCTGTTCCATAAACTTGAGATTTTACTACACAATCTAGTTCAAGAAAATATATAAATTGTTAACATGACAAACATGTGAAGAACTTTATCTTGCTCGGACTCTCCAAAAATGTTGTCGTACCCATATTGAATCCTCAAAAAATGTACTACTTTTGGAGAATCCAACACGCACCTGACTGACATTTTTGAAGGGTCCGACCAACATAGGTAAGGAATGAACGAAAACTATTCGTCACCTGCAGATCAACAATCAAAGGAACATGAATCTTTTCCATTTTGGCTGCAATTGATAGGCAGGCTACAACTAACAATTGAACTGCCCATGTTTTACCTCTCTCTATATATATATCCAAGAAATGGAAATCAACAGAATGCAGACAATCAGTTAGCTATCAAACTTCAAACACTCTGAAACGAAATGCTACGGCGAATTATGTTACTCGGGTCTCGGACCCTTCAAAAATACTGCATGCGGCACCAGTGTTGAATCCTCTTAAGTGCATAGCTTTTAGAGGATCCGACACACACTGAACAGTGTCGAAATTAACTTATGAATATGTAGAGTCAATTTCAATAGCTATTTGTTCCGTATGTCCTGTATTGTGCTGCCATTCCTCCAATTTGGTGCGAGAACGCACACAATTAGCCCAGTATGCAATATTCTTAGTTCAATTTAGTCGCTTGTGTGTATAGATCAATAGCTTGTGAATACTTATTATACCCACAAATACATTGACATCAGAAATAGACTTACTATTTAGGAATATGCATAAACGCCGGCTAATGAAACAAACTGCAAATACTTGCCAAGATTACCACTCTGAGTCTCTTACTAACAATTAAGTGCAAAGGATCTTATGAACTTACCTACCAATGAGTTGTCTTACCATGTGTGAAATACAGCCCTGCAAAAAAATTAGTTGAAGAATACAACAACAATTTTTAAGTTATAACTTATAGTTTGTTTACCAATCAACCATTAGAATTATATATTTCTAAAGGCTTTCTTACTGTCTGTTTATGAGCAGCTGTAAAAGAGAAAGCTGCTCAGAAAATATAGAAATTGGACGGAAAAAATTGAAGCTCGAAGAACAATCAAGAAAAAAAGCATGGTTCCCTTTTTTTTTTTATTTGTATCTTCTCAGATTTAAACTTTATCAACTCATAAAACTAAATCTAAAACCAAAGCTAGAAAAATTGAAGCTCAAAAGGAAATAATTAAAATCAAAGAAGAAGATGAGTGAGGACAAAAGATAGCCTTAAAATTGCAGCACTACTTGAAGTAATTGAAGATGAAAAGGCGGTAGGAGATGAAACGTTGAGGAAATCCGTCTGTTGTGCTGATGTGAATGTGAAGTGATATGTGAAAGTGATGAAGATCAGTGGAAGCCTGCCACGCACAATCGCTAGACAACCACGTGGACTAATATGAAGGTAGAGCAACAACTTGCAATTACTAAAATACCCTCAAATAATATAAAAAAGACTATAAGCAGACATGTTGATATCTCAATCATACCCACACTTTTATAATATATAGTAGAAAGAAAGGGGAATTCAATTATCTAAATCAAAATTTTAATCATAAATAAGATAACAAATAATTTATTATTTACTTTTAAAAAAAATTGTAAATCTTCTCACTCGTGAACAACTCAAAACTAAAATCTGAAACAAAATGAGACCTTTTATTTATGATAGTTAATTTTTTTTATATGTTACTATATTGAGTTAAATATCATTTTCAAGTCTTTTTAATTTAAATATTTATAAAAAAAAGTTGTAATAAAACTTTGATGATATTTTAGAACATTGAATTAAACTATCTAAAATTTAAAATCTAGCAATAATATTTTTGAAAACAAAAATCAAGGTATTATATTACAACAAATGACTAACATTTTATGATTTGTAATTGATTATATAGACTAAGGTGCAAAATGTTAAAGAAAAAAATAGGGTAAAATTTAAGGTATATAGAAATTTTTCGAAGATGTTAAATAAATTATTAACTTGTAACAAAAATAATTTCAAAAGAATATCGAGCTATATTACCTTCCTCTTTTGTTCGTATACGCAATATAAAAATTATATATTAGAAAATAAATCAAGAGCAAAGTAAAATATCTTTTAAAAATTATTGTTTGAAATTGTTTTCTTATTGATTATAATTTATTTTAACTTTATAAATACTTGTTTTGAATCGAAATCAATTGATTAATCTACTCAACATATGCCAGCAATGTATGTTATCAAGTACTGCTCAATTAGAACTAATCATTCTTTTTAAACACAGCTTTCACTACTTTTTCATCAATCAGTGATGAAACGAATCATTATTTTCAAGTTTGAGCTTTGTAATAAAAATATACTTTGTCTATCATGATTTTAACATTAGTTTAAGTTTTACTTTTTATGCAATTTGTAACAATATTGTTTTGTTGTTAAGACAAATAAATTAAACTACAGAGCTCAACAAATTCTTTTAATGATATTTACTTTATTGCATGATAATCAATGTTATAATTCAAAACTATATTCAAATCAATGTTACAGACTTGGCATAAGTCATGTTAAAATATTCCCATAAAGCTACATATCTTTTTATTATTTGAGTTGGATTCTCATGAGGACTTTTAAAGCAAATTTTTAATATTTGTACGGTTGAATTACTATTTCCTACTGAAGTTGCAGACCAATTAGGATTAATTTTTTCATAAGTTTTCTACAAAAAGTTTGAACCTAAATCAAGAGAATAAAAAAAATCAGATTTCGTCCAAAATTGAAAGAAAAAAATAATCAGATCCCATAACTTTTGGGCTTCTTGGACGTTACTGGGGCTAAAGTGTGCGGTAGCCATATAACTCTTTTGGGCTTCTTGGGTGTTACTGGGGCTAAAGTGTGTTAAAATTATTGTCAATTATTTTTTAAGTTATTTAAATTTTAATAATTTAATATTTATATCTTGTCCAAATTTGAAATTTAAGTTTCATATATAATAAAAAACGAACTTCAATTATTAACTTATCAAAACAATAATAAATCTAAAAAACTCATTTAATATATTTTTATTTTTTTCATTATAAATGCACTTTAGTCATGATTAATGTAAAAGTTGATTAAGATTTTAGTCATGTGGATCTAACTATTTTTTTAGACAAATAGTTTTATGTGAAATTACCTAATACCAATGTTGGTCAAAATAAAATATAAAGTGGATATTAGTTGAATGAGGTGACCAAAATAGGGGGCCTTGTGAATTTTTTTGGTGTTACTATTATACTAGTAAATTGATTCGTGATTTGCGCAGTTAATTAAATTCTTATAAAATTTATGAAATGATATCTTTCTTTGAATATCTATATACAAAAAGAAATTCAATAAATAAATAAATCGAATTAAAATTTTAATAATCATGTATTCAGATTCTCTTCAAGATTATGTAGTTCTAAAGTGCTCAAATATTTCTTTAAATATTTAGTTGTATATACACTATCAACATTTTCTTTTATTTTGGGAAATATTATCAGAATATTGTTCCCTTTGAATTCAATGTATTGCATAAATTTAAACTATTCTTTCATTTTTTTTTATTGTACATAAATGCTTCATGTTATTTTTTAAATAAGTATTTTGAAATACATGAATTTACTAAAAAAACCATAATTTCTTTTATTGTTCATAAGTTAAATAAACATATATATATATATATAAAGATTTTAGTCCCTGCATTTAGAATTTGTTTCAATAAATAAAATGACATATTACAATAATATACAGATAAAAATTGAACTATGCTAATAAGTAATAAGCATAAACCTTAAGTCAACTTAATGAAAGTAATTTAAGAGAAAATTAATAGGAAAAATCCTTTGGGCAGAATAATTTGGCCATAATGGCTCAAATACATATTCACTTAATAAACTCGTTTTCTTTTTGACAACTATACCCGTCTTTGTCAAATTTATATATTTTTTAATTTATTAATTATGTTTCAACAAATGAGAAAGATTTCCAATACATTGGAAATTGACTAATTTATATATTTCTCTAACTTACCTACCTATATGACTTTTCCCCCCTTTTCTAATTAAAAATCTATAAACAATACCAAATTTAAATTGATAATTAGAAAATAAAAGGTTAGAAATTTAGGGAAAGAACCGTTCAATGATCTTGATTCTTGATAACCTTGTTTTCTTAAATGTCTTCCTCGTTTAATTGAGTGAGGAATAAGTTATTTTTGAGATTTTTAACATAGTACATAAATAAATAAAGAATAGACAAAAGTTTTTTTTTTTTTTTTAAAAAAAAAAGAACAAGAAAAAGATAATTATAAAAAATTTAAAATAAATAAGTAAAATTTACACATTTCAAGGAGATCTTGCTTGCTATATTTTAAGATGAGCATAACTTTTCATTTATTTGACAAATTAAGAGGCGTGATATTTTTAAATCATGAATTTATTTTTATGCTATTGTGAATGTATTTGTCTTATCATTTTCATTACATAATGCTTTTATACCATTTGTGACAACTTCTAAAAAGGCAACATATGATATTGAATTTCTTTACTTTTCTTTGACAACTTTGTCAAATCTTTTATAAAGATCGTGTAAATATTCTTCTTCTTTTTTTGAAAAATAAATAAATGGTAATTTTGCTAAATATTTAACACTCATTTGTTTGAAGGATCAATATCATACATTTCATTTAATTGAAGATTTAATATGCTCGTTCAAATATTATAAGGACTAAAATGAATTAACATTAAATAAGAATTAAAATCGTGAATTACCCATTAGTGAATATAAAAATGCACATAAAATCTAATTTAATTTTATAAATTGATGAAATCACAAATATAAAAGTTATTACACAAATATAGGTTAAGAAGAATTGCATTTCTTATCATATATTTTTTTAAATGAGGAAAGAAAAGAGTTTACATAAAAATGAATAGTAAATTTATGATTCGTCGTTGCATATAGTGCTTCACTATCAAATTTCAAAAAGGAAACATCATGATCTATTGCATACAACTATGGTTTAGTACTTTATATTCTGCTAAAACTAATTTGTTGGATGTAAGTACAAATTGACTTCGTTCGACACGAAGGACGACCAAAATAAGTCACAATATTGTTAAAATTATTGCATAAAATTTGCTGAAATAGATGGTCACAAATAAGAGTAAATAATTAAATTTTGAACAAATTTTGTTTATTTGATCGGATTGGATACCGTACTTAATTGAAGTACCATTTGTGTAATTCAACATGCTATTGAATCATTTAATTAAAAAAAAAAACATTAGAATGGCAAATAATTATATATTGTAATTTATGTATAATGAATTTATTTTTTATATTAATTTAATAAATTACATAAATTAGTAAGATATAATGTTTTTGATGTAATCAAAATTAACTTTTATTGAATCTCAAAAACACTCTTTTAATTAATAAATCTTAATTTATTGATTAAATAATCAAAATAATAATATTTTATGGTCCTGATTCCTGACAATATTAATTAGAGAGGTTCTAATTTATTTCATTCGGACAATTTTATTAGTCACATTTTTTAAAATTTACATGCCCCTTAAAATTATGTGTTTTGAGTTTTGACAACCATACTCTTATTTATTATTTTTAATTATTTAAAATGTTAATTTCTCTTTAATAAATAAAAAAGAGTTAATCTAAGCAATCACTATATTGGATTATGTGTATGTTTTTTTTTTTTAGGTTTACTATGTGGATTAGTTAATATTTATTAATTTCAAAATTAATTATTACTATCGGCAAAATGGGAAGACTGCATTTCAATTATATATTAATTTTCTGAAATGATAATTATTTTAGACCATATATTTTTAGTGAAGGCGACAAATAATATATTTTCTTTTCAATTTAAGTATTTTAGTTTCTTTTTTGATTTGGACCGTATGTTCTATTTTTCTGCCATCTCTTTATGTTTTATAATTGTACTATCTCGTCTCTATTACTTCTACATCCTATCAAGGCTTTAATGACATGACATTCGAAAATAGTAATAATTGAAGGGTATTTGAAGAAAATAGTGATAGTTAAATAATATTATTGATCTTAAATGGAAAAAATGACATTCGAAAATAATTTATGATACTTGAATAATGATTTAAGAAATTAACGATGATCTTACTTAGGGAGGGTTTTATTTGAACTCATTGCAAGTTACTCCCTCTGTTCCTAATTATTTGTCCTTTTTTTTTTATAATTGTCCCTAATAACTTGTCCATTTTGACAAATCAAGAAAAGACAAAAAAAATTTAACCTATTATATCCTCAATTAATTACTTTAAAAAAGGTAGAACTTTTTGAAAATCTTAAGGTTTTAATTCATCTACTTCATAATTAATAGGATAAAATGGTAAACTCACTATGTCAA